CTCCCTAGATACATGGATAATATATCTCTTCAATTTTATCTACAATTTATTGAGATTTATTATAGATGCATTTATTAGCTGCATATAGATAAAAGTATCATTTCACAAAGTACAAAAGAGAGAGCTTGCGTGGCATATAATCAAAATGGGAGATACGTGTCTGCTCCCGAAACTTTTCTTCCGGTTACTCACATGGTGCAACTTTGTGCTGTGCCCTAATGCACCCTCTTTCTGGCTGTGGAATGATCCAGAGTGTTTGAAGGCCGCCGCTCTTCTACCACAGAAAACTGAGCAACAGACGGGTTTGTGTGGCCTTGCTGAAAAGGCCGGTACAAGAATCCCCACCCTTGGAAGAAAAAAAAAGAAAGAAAAAGAAAAGTAAAAGAAGAACAAAAGGTGGGGCGGGGTGGGGAAGAAGGGAAAAATTCATTTAAAAGCATTTCCCCCATTTCCTGTTAACTACTTGCGACACTGGGAATTCTGATGGCGGCTTCCCAGCAATTTACAGCCCTGCCCTCTGTTTGGACCTTGCTGTTCTACCTTTCGAATTTTTATTCTGTCTGCTCAGCTTAGAGCAAACGCCTTCAGCAACAATGGGGGGTCCCGTCGCCCCTGCCCGTCGTATCACCCGCAGCCTCCCAGAGCAATGTCAGGATGAGCCTGGACACACGAGTAAATCTCGTGCTGCAAGTTTTAAAAAGCATATGGTTTGTTTTAAGTGCATTATCCAGAAAGGAGGTATAATCATTTAACTTAGTGCAGAGGTGACTTTGGTGCCCTCTCTGAGTATGTCTGTGATGATTCCCCAGCGCCGGACCTGGGCCATTTATTTCCAAGATAAGTTTGTAAGTTTTTTTGAAATTGAGAAAACAACATTTGAACCGATAAAGTGGAAGTTGTCAGAAAAAAAGAGGGTTTCGTTTGCTTGGTTTTGGGGTTTTTCTTTTGGTGTTTGGTTTTACAAAACTACTAGAAATAAGAAGGATGAAAGAAAGTGACTGTATACAGAAAGGAGGAGATGTATTTTGGGTAAAAGAAGGTTTGAGGGACGGAGATACATTTTTGGTAAGGGGGAAGAAAGCAAGTAATTTCATCCTAAAGGAAAATCATTATTCCAGAATAAGAAGGGAAAAAGATAGGACAAAACCCAAATGGATACAGAAAGCTGTAGAAGGCTTACAGAAAAGGGGTCTTGAGAGAGGAATCTTATGTGTGGCCATGCAGACCCAGATTAAAATGGATTTATTTAAATTAAAAAGAAAAAAGGGAAGAATTTTAATATCAAAAGTGCAGTGGCGCACAGTTAGAATTTGCTTCTCTCTTCGTTAAAAGGACGAAGTGTTCTTAGATTATTGCTCTGCTCTTAATAAGAAATCACAAAGGTTTTTCTTTACCTTTTATGTAATCTGCCTCAAAAACAAAGATTCTGTGTTTTGGCTTTATCAGATTATTAAAGGAAACTGTTTTCTTTATGTACAAAGCTAAGAGACAAACCATGAGAGACTGTGGACTCTGAGAAACAAACTGAGGGTTTTGGTGTGGCGGGGGTAGGGGGTTGGTGAGCCTGGTGGTGGGTATTAAGGAGGGCACGATCGCATGGAGCACTGGGTGTGGTGCATAAACAATGAATTTTGGAACATTGAAAAAAAATAAATTTTTTTTAAAAGCGAAGATGTTTTTCTCAACAAACTTTTTTTTTTTTAAAGGGAAGTTTCTTTCTTTTTTCTTTTTTTTTAAGATTTTATTTGACAGAGGGAGAGAGACAGCGAAGGAAAGAACACAAGCGGGGGAATGGGAGAGGCAGAAGCAGGCTTCCCGCCAATCAGGGACCCCGATGCGGGACTCGATCCCAGGACCCTGGGATCATGACCTGAGCCGGACGTAGCAGAGGTTGAACGGCTGAGCCACCCAGGCGCCCTCTACTAACTTTTTAATGTTATGTTAAATTTCATGGGAAGCATTGTCAAATAAGTGATGCTAAACTTTAAGTTATTAATATAAATATTCCAGAAATTATAGGAAGCTCATGGGGATCTGATGTACTGACACAGCGTTATCTGTCATGATCCCAGCTATGGTCTTAAAATATGGTATATCAGAGAAAGAATCGAATTTTCTTGTCAGTTGCATTATAACGACTTCTCATCCGAGCTTTGACCATTGCCAACTTTTAGGCCTTTTGTCATTTACAGAAGTTACTGTTTTATTCTGATGCTTTTGCAAACAATGTTCCCGCAAAAATGCTTTATTTTTGAGAAGATTCATGAAAAAGACCCCTTCTCCCCACAAGTACTCTGTAGAATACAGGTTTCTGATGACTTCAAGATCATAACACAGAACTGTGTAAGAATTTCTAAAACTTTCATGGAAAAGTGATGAATTCCTCAAACTAACAGAAGATCGAGATCAACAAGAATTGATTACAGGAGACCAAATAAATTAATGAAGATGGTTAGAATTTTTCTGACTTCATTTCAAATGTTGCTGGTTCTTTAATGTTTTGTTTGCAGATTTATTTATTTTTAAAGATTTTATTTATTTATTTGACAGAGATCACAAGTAGGTAGAAAGGCAGGCAGAGAGAGGAAGGGAAGCAGGCTCCCTGCTGAGCAGAGAGCCCCATGCGGGGCTCGATCCGAGGACCCTGGGACCACGACCCAAGCAGAAGGCAGAGGCTTTAACCCACTGAGCCACCCAGGCGTCCCTGTTTACAGATTTAAAAGGAACCAAAAGAACATGATCAATCACTTTTCCTGCTTACTTACATAAATAATCAGGCCAAGTTTATTAAAAGTCAACTTAATTTGCAAAACAAATTAGTCTTGCCATGGTTGTCTTTGATGGAAATGGAAATGATTATGGAGAGAAATTTATGTTTCAGTAACACACCCCTGTGGATATTAGATTCTAGGGCTGTTGATCATCTCTGAGTTTATTTTCTACTTGTAAACTGGCCTGGATCTTGAGCTCTAGCTTCCTCCAATATCTGGCTAAAACTCTCCAGCCCAGCATTATCAATTTTCTCCCACTACTTTCACTTGGAATCACTACAAAACTAAACCTGCTGCTCCCCCCCGCCCACAAGCCATGCAAGCTGAAACTGGACAACTTGAAATAAACATCAAAGAAATCACAGCAGCGCACTGCGGAGGATGTTTGTGCCTGCTTGTACGCGGCCACTTGGAAAGATACAGGGGACCTTCACGCTGCAAACAGGAAAAATCTGTCTTGATTGCCTGACTGTCCTGCTTGCACTCTATGTAAAGATACTTCGAAACCTACTTTTTTGGAAATCTTCTCAACTGACGGCTCTCCAAACTCAGAAAACAGAATTTCTAATTTGCTTGAGCTATTAGTCTTTGGTTTTCTTTTGTTTCTGTAGGTACGCTGCTCATTAAATTACTTGATGGCTCACACCATATAGATGTTCTAATTCAGAGGGAAGCCCACGTGCATCGGCATCTCCTGAAATACATTTTTTCAATTCATCCCGCCCCGGGTCATCATGAGGATATGTGCTTGCTGATAAATCATGTTATGCTTATGAACATAACTTAAAAATATTTCTTTTGTAGATTGACTTAGTAAAGGAAAACCTGAACCTCATTACATCGCATTGGATTTATTGGGTTGGTTAAACGATGGCTCCTGGGTGTCTCTGCTCCAGGAAGTCTTCAATGTTTGGCTGTTGTCTTCCCTACAATCATCCTATTGACCTTTCTAGGGCATTGTATATTCTGGAAGCTTTAAATGCTTGTTGGCTGCTAATCACACGCAGACAACTGGATGAAATCAACAATAACCACATGAATGATGAAGTTGATGCGTACGTGGCTCTCTAGCCTGATGACTCAGCTAATGGAAACCGCAAACCTGGGATCTTCCTGCCTGACCCCATCAATGGTGGTAACCGAGAATCAGGCTCCAATGGCTGGTCCTACCCTGAGTATGACCCAAAGGGGGGGTCATTGTTAAATTTCGAAACAAAGGAAGACCGATCTTGAAGGGTTCCTGAGCACACAGAACCAGTTTGGTCATGCAGGTGAAGCTTAATTTGGCTTATCCTGCAAGCCTAATTGAACCTGGTCGTTTCTTCCTTGTGTCTCTGAAAATGATAAAACTTGAGCTGCTTCCGAAAGTTGATATGACTGGTAACTACTGAAAATTACAATATTGTAACGAATCACTGGGAAGAATAAATAGTCACAGCTTTGTTGCGGGAGAAGCTTCGGGAGAAGCTTCGGGAGAAGCTGCGTTGTTACAGGGCACCCGCGAGCCTCATTCGATGTGTTGGTTCCCGGGCACCCCGTTTGCAAACTTTCTGGGGCATGCACAATAATTTCTTACTAACTGCTACTTCAGTGATTCATTTGGTTTTCTTTTGGCTGTTTTGAACGTAGGACAGAAGGTATCTCATTCTGTTGCAAATGAGATGGCGGGTCTAGGCCTTTCCTGAACCACTTGTTTGCTGTAATGTTCTTTACACTTGAGCAATCAATCCCCTGCAAAAGAGAAGGCGAAAGTAACCTATTGTCAACAAAATCGCCCCACGGTGAGGAAGGTGCCTGTACTTGAATCATTTCTGCCCAGCCGGAACCCCGAGCAAGTCATTTTGGGCCGCAGGAGGCAACCTTACAGCCCACTCCCCACGACCCTCTCCCCCTCCCCTCCTCCCCCCTCCCCCTCTCCCCCGTCTAGTGAGTCCAGACTCTCTGCCGCAGCCGCCGGTGCAGCCCCGCCTCTCCGGGCAGGGCGTCCCGAGTCGCGGCAGCTAGGTTCCCTCTGGCCGGGAACGCACCGCGTGTAGGAGGCGAACGAGATCGGAAGGGCAGGCCTCCAGGGCCGAGAGGAGACCCAGCTGGCTGTGCGGGACTGAGTGGCTGGGCCCAGCACGTGACCACGCAGCCTGGCTCCGCGGGGGGTGGGGGTGCCCGGGCGCCGGAGGCTGAAATCGACATTTGCCTGGGGCAGGAAAGTGCGCGGGTCAGATTCCTTCCCCCTCAGACCCTCCACCCCGGGAGCGGGGGATTGCCATAGCGTTTTAACTTTGCATGTCAGGAACCAGAAAGTAAAAGGTAAGTTACTTATCACCTAGAAAAACAAGCTGGAGAGGAGTGACCTAGAAAACCACACGGCCGGCCACATTGTTGGGTTTTAAAACCCGGTGCAGAAAATAATAGATCGATGTGAAGGGCAAGGGCCCTTACTTATGTCCCAAATTAGAGGCTGACCTTCTGCGCGGACATTTGATTAATCTGGAAGGAGTGGTGGCAAAAGGGCCCAGGTTAAATATAGAAGGACACCAAAGCGGCTGGAATAAATAGCAAGTAGGTAACTCCTGCCTGCTTTTAAAACGATCTATTTCACATCTCTTTTGGGGCCAGGAGACGAGGCAATGTTAAAATTGTGACTTAAACTCTATGAAACTGGAATACAAGTAAGACCAGTTTCTGCTTTTGTCCTTTCACGCTTCAAAACGGTTTATATGGTTTGGCAGAAGAAACCTTGATGGGTTCATCGCTTAGGTTTGAAATATGCCATTTCAGGTTTCCCTGATCACTGCTGGAATTTTCCTAAGGCTTTCTAGGCAAGGCTGTTTCAGTTGTGAATGAGAAATGTTGACGTCGTGTATATTTTCTGTAACAGTAAGATGACTCACTTCTGCAGAATGTGATAAAAATTAAAAAGCGTGAAATAATGAGTTATTGTGAATTAACTCTTTCATGTCTGAGATATCAAATTCCTTGCCAGAAGATTTAAGAAAACACAGAAATAAGTACAACCATGCTCGTGCAATAGTGCTTTATTTTCCATAAGCAAATATTCCAGTATGTAGTATATGTTTAACCCTTTTTTTCCCCCCATTTGGCAAATGCAAGTTAATACTACAATGTAGCTATTGAGAGTAAATAAAAACATTATTCATCAGTGCAATTAGCATAATATTCCATAATGAATATGCTTCAAATCAAAGTATTTCAGATCATAGTTGATAAACGATATGAAACACTGAAACTGTGCAAAGTTGTTTCCATGCACTTTTTTCCCACGCACTTTATATTTTAGTTGTCATTCTGATTTACACAAAATATATTTCTCCGTTGCATTTGATAAAGACTTTAAAAAAAAACACTAAATTGTTCTCTTTCTTGACTAATCCCTTTATTGCTAATTCTTTTGAAATCCTATTACATGCTTGGAGCCCGTAATCGTTGGGATTTCTCCTTCTGTGTCCTGCCTGTTTCCCACAGTCGGTGAGAAAGGCCGGGAAAGCTGCGCACATCAAGCAGGCGGCCCAGCAGGGAGGCAGGAGCTGGGGACTTCCCGGTCTTCCAGGGTCTTCCTCGGCTTCCCACCCCCCTTCCCCGCCTAGGCCCGAGGCGTCACGTGGCGGCGTGGGGCCCGCCTCCGGTGACGTCACCGCGCTCGCAGCCGTCGCGCTGAAGAAAGGATGCTCTAGGATGCTGTGCAGGTGGGCGGCGGGGATGCGCCATGCAGCACTGCAGGTAAGGGACGCGCGGCGCCCACCCTGCAGGTCTGCAGCCCCTCGGCTCCCCAGAAAGCGAAAATGGGGGGTCTTTGGCCGCTGCGGCTGCTGCACGCACCGGGCGGGGATGCCGGGGTGGGGGGTGTTGCAGGCCCACTCGCGAGCTTGGCATGCCTGTCCGGGAAAGTGGGCAGGGGCCAGAAGGGAAGACCGGGGCCTTTTGCTCAGGAGAAGAGAAAAATCTGGAATGATCACCAGACACGCATGATTAAGACAGAAAGGTGCTTGTCATGGATAACTGTCAACTGTTTGCCAGCTGTCATTGTGCTTCTTAAATAATGACACATTTACTAATTCTCCTTCCGGGGGTTTGTCCTCAGTATTTAGCCTGATTTCTTTTAAAGCAAAAGCTGCTTTGCTCTGAATGGAATGGAAACTTACTGGTTAGCAATTTAAAGAGCTGAATGTGCAATATAAATCGTTTTGCTTTATTTTTGCAAGGTTCCAGCGTTTGAAGGGGATATGTCGGAAATGCATTTTCCCCTCTCCAGGTGTTTTAAGTAGATTGGAAAATAACAGTATCCAATAAAATAAAATGCAACCTCTGAGGATTGACCGTGAGTGTAAGAGAGCGAATCAGCTACAGCTCTGGAGAACAAAATGGTTTTTTGAAGGGGGTGGGGTGAAGACGAACAGTCAAACCGAATTCCCAGTGTTCTTTTTAATTTCCGTATTGAATAATTAGCCCGCTGGAAGAAGGGGCTTGATGACTCAGCGGCAGATGGAGGGGGGTCAGGTGACTTTTCAGTTCTGGCTGGTTGAGGGGGGCGTTTAATGGACTCTGTTAATTGGTGGGACCTGTTTACATTCCTTTCTCTGGTTCAAATAGGGCCTGAGGCATGGGTGGGCACCCCTAGGAGGAGAATGTGGTATTCTTTTCTGTAAAACGTGACCCCTCTGGAAGTTGGGGCATTAGTAAATTGTACTGGAACTCACACTGTGCATAATTTGATTCCCCGACAACTGTTGGAGGACAGTGTTAAAAAGCAGTGCTATTTTAGTTGATAATATAAAGGTTTCCCCTTGTGGTGGGCTTACTGTCTGGCAGCCCAGATAGCTTTGGCTCTAAGAAGGGGATTACAGACTTCCTCTCTCTGCTTTATATTCTAACCAAATTTCAATTGATTTGCTCTGATTATTTATTTCAGAGTAAGGCAGTGCCATAAAAACAATGGGGAATCCTCTTCCAACTTAGAACTTTGTATGTCTGATTGCCATCCAGAAGACATGGAGGAGAAAAGAGGATGTGAGCCCTGTTTAAAGAAAAATGGGGATGGAGATGGGGTGAAGCCTGCAAAGAAGGATGGGGATGGGGTGAAGTCAGTGAGACTTACCTTTGATTGTGCCAAAATCAGAACAATGTTTCTGTGAAATTAAGACTATGTCATAAAATGAGGCGGCAAGACACTGGGCCATAGCCTTTCATGTAGTTCAGCCTAGAGATCCAAATGTCAAAGTCGTATCTTTGTCCATATCCATGCCTGTATATTTATATACCCATACATTCATGTCTCTATCTCTACAGCTATGTTTTTGCTATTGTAATCCTTTTTAAAAAATTATGCTTATATAAGAAAATGCCAAGCTATTTTCCAAGGTGGGCGTATCATTTTGCATTTCTGCCAACAATGTATGAGAATTTCAGTTGCTCAGGATCCTTGCCAGCACCTTGGTTTCGTTTTAATTTTAGTCACGCTCATAAGTATGTAGGGGTTATCTCTTTGTGTGTGTGCGTGTTTTTCTTTAAACGAATGAGTTATTTTATGTAAATTATTCCCCGCCAGCCCCTTGGTTATTGTCAGTTTTTTAAAAAAAATTTAACCATTCTGGGAGGTAGTTATGGTATCTCATTGTGTGTTTTTTTCTTCTTTTAAAATTTTTTTAGTAATTTACTTACTTATTTTAGTGTATTGAGTCTGTTTCTTCCCGCTGGAATAGGAGGTCCAGGAAGGCTGGGATTTGTGTGTGTAAGGTTCCCTCCTCTATCTCGAGCACTGGGCGTGGTACCGGGAATATTTAGTTGCCGTTTAAGAAATCGGTCAATGTTTAGTAATTGCACAAGTTCTGAAGGCCTGGGGGAGTCACCTGACTCACCTCAGGGGGTGTGAAACCATCCGTCCACCTCGGGTTTCCTTTCCGCAGGTGGAGGAGTGAGGCGTGAACAGGCTTAGGGAGCACGCTTCAGGCTGAACTCACTCTCAAGGAGCGAGCTGGCAATTCTCATTACCTAGCTGGTAACTGAGCTCCATTTTTCATTAATCATTTTCTAGTCCCTGGATCCGGCCATGCTTGAAGCTTCAATTAAAAAGAAATTTTTTTTTCTCCCACCCCCTGCCTTTGGCAACTATCCGTCTGTTCTCTGTGAGCTTCGCCCCCCTTCCATTCCACTTACAAGAGGGATCCTACCGTATTTGGCTTTCTCTCTCTGATTTACTTCCCCTTAGCATAATGCCCTTGAGGTCCATCCCTGTTGCAAATGGCAAGCTTTCATTCTCTCTTATGGCTGAGTAACGTTCTGTTGTCAGTATACACCACGCTCCCTTGTCCGTTTATCCATCAGCACTTACGTGGTTTCCATGCTTGGCTGTTGTAAATAATGCTGCAATGAACATAGTGATGCGAGTATCTTTTTGAGTTGGTGTTTTTGTTTTCTTCAGATACCCAGAAGTGGAATTGCTGAGTCGTCGTATGATAGTTCTGTTTTTAGTTTTTTTTGAGGCGCCTCCGTACTGTTTTCTACAGTGGGGGCACTAATTTCATTCCTACCAACGGTGCACGAGGGTTCCCTTTCCTCCACATCCTTGCCAACACTTGTTATTTCTGGTCCTTCTGTAAACAGCCATTCCAGCAGCGCGCGGGCTTCCTTAGTGTGGTTTGGATTTGCGTCTCCCTGACAAGGAGTGATGTCGAGCATCTCTTCGTGTGCCCGTCGGCCCTCCGTCTGTCTTCTCTGGAACAATGTGTATTTCGATCTTCAGCCCATTTTTTGATCATTAAAATTTTTTTTTTTTTTTTTTTTTGCTGTTGAATTGTATTCTTTATATTTTGGATATTAGCTTCTTTTTTTTTTTAAGATTTTATTTATTTATTTGACAGAGATCCCAAGTAGGCAGAGAGGCAGGCCGAGAGAGGAGGAAGCAGGCTCCCTGCTGAGCAGAGAGCCCAATTCCATGCAGGGGGCTCCCCAGCTCCCCAGGATGCTGGGATCATGACCTGAGCCCAAGGCGGAGGCTTTAACCCACTGAGCCACCCAGGCGCCCCAGCAACTAAGAGATTTTGATCAGGTTTCTCCACCTCAGCAATGTTGACCTTTGGGGCTGAATCAGTCTGTTGTGGGGGGGCTGCCCTGTTCACCAGGGGAGGCTGGGCAGCATCCCTGGGGACACTCAGTAGATGCCAGGAATGACCCTCCCCCAGCTGTGACAACCCAAAGGTCTCTAGACGCTGCCGCCTGTCCCCTTGGTGTGGGGGAGAATTGCCCCTGGTTGAGGACCACTGCTTTGGATCATCTCTAAATGTTCTTCTGGCTTCAGTGTTCTAGAATTCATTTTCCTATGATGTGTTTGGTGCTAAACCCTTGACCAGAGATCAATTTCCCTTTCATCGCGTCTGTATTTTGGGAAATACAGTGTGAAGGCTTTTTTTACACTCTGAGGTTCCAGAAGTCGCTTCTGTTCGAAAGGGAAGGCCTCTTTGTGTGCCCCTTGTTGCTGGGAAGCTAGCTGGGCTGAGAGGGGAGTGCCGGGGAGAGGGGACGCCTGGCCCGAGAGCCCCGTGTGCTGGAGCCGTGTGCTGGAGCCCGGTGCGCCTGGACGAGGCTGTCCCCGCTGTCCGCTCACCTGAGACCCCGGCCCAGGCCTCACTGCCCGAGGGGCGGAGGTGGTGTGGGCAGCGGCTTTCGGGGAGGGGGTTGGGGGGGTAGGGTGGGGGTGGCTGCTGGGTAGTGGTGATGGTGGTGGCCCTGGGGCCGCCACCTGCCTGCACAGCCCAGCACCCCCCCCAGTCCCGCTGCCGGGGGGCAGGGCGCTCACCCACTTGCGCCTCGACTCCCGGCTAAGGCGAAGCTGCTGGCTCTGACCCTGGAGGGCAGGGCGGCTTCTTCCACATCACTTCCCTCTTGGAGAGCAGCCATGGCTTAGGGCCCTGCTGGTTCGTTGGCTTTTGGGGGGCACCAGAGGGATGTCAGCGGGTTCTGCAAGCTGGAGGACTCCCAAGAGACGGGAAGCGGCGATGGCCGTGGCATTGCAAGGTGTGGGCTCTGTGCAGCGCGGGTGGCAGTGGGAGGCTTAGAAGGGCCAGGGGACTCCCGTTCCCCGGGTTTGGGACTGCTCTGTGACCGCCACCCCATCCCCTGGCCATCAGCCTCCTCTCCCGACTCTTCCAGGCCCCATAAAAATTGGGCTCGGGTGGGCGGTTTGGCCTGCAGCGCAGGAGTGCGACCATGCGGGAGGCAGGCGTCCTTGCGCAGAGCGGTCGCGGCTCATCCTGTCCCCGAGCTGTTCCCCCCTCCCCCGCGCGCCTCACCAGGGCTTGACACCCTTGCTGGGCCTTCTGGCCCCATCGCGGCAACAAGTCCACGTGGTGAAAGAAGATTGAAAAAGGAGGGTGTTCGTCCTCAAATGAGACTTAAGAGACTGAGTAAGTGTCCCAGTCCCCGTGGCGGCTGTGACGGAGACCAGAGACTGGGGGGCTCATCGACAGCGGCCGTGGATTTGTCACAGCTCTGGAGGCGGCCGACGCAGTTGGCTTCCGGCGAGGGCCCTCGTCTGGGGTGCAGGTGGCCACCTTCTCACCTCCTTATGTCGGGGAAGAGGCTGGGAGCTAGCTCTCGGGGGCTCTTTTCTAGGGCCCTTATCCCATCCCGAGGTCGCCTCCTCCAGGACCTGCTCACCTCCCAGAGGCCCTGTCTCCGAATACCATCCCTCTCGGGGTTAGGTTGCATCATCTGAATTTTGGGAG